AAAGAGATTTACAAGAGGACAACACAATAAAAGCTATCTTAAATTGCCTTACAATAAAAAAAAACAGCAAAAGGTTTACACATTACACAGAAAACTTAAAATGTTTATTTAAAAAGGAATAGAATAGAAAAGCAAAGCAAAGTAATGGCAATCTAAAATTCAGGTTTGACCCTACTATCATACGAGTTGCTGGTGAACACCCAAACCCTTCACAACTGTCGTCTCCAAGAAGCAAGGAAGGGGATCAGCCAAGCACACTTTAGGAGAAAATTTTGTAACTGGGAAGTTGGCAGGAAGATGCTTTGCCAAGCCACACTACGCTATGAGTTGAATCTTCCCAGCTGATCTTAAAGCGAAGGCTAGATGGTATTGAGAGAAACACCATTTTAAGCAAAGAATGTATCCTAAGCTGTTTAGGGCTCTATAAACTAAAGATCTTAAACTGGTTCTGGCAGCTCACAAGCAAACCGTGTTATATGGTTCTTTTTAGTCACCTTACTTAAAGATCAAAAAGATGAGTCTTATGCCACAGTGGTTGCAGCTTCTGAAGTCTTCAAGGTATAACCCCACATAAAGAATGCAACCAAGAGATTATTAAGAAGTGGATTCATTCAGCTGAAATCCTACTTGTCACACTAGCCAAAGCTTCTTGCTGCTGGAATTACCTATGCTTCTGGGAACTAATTATAATCCCAAACTACTGCACACAGCTGTTATTTCAGAGGAAATGCTCCTTATCCAATATAAGCCAGTTTCCTAAATCCCAGCCTTGAGAAACATTTATCTGAATACTATACCAACTTTTATGGAGTCCATTTCAATTTATTGATCTTCAGTCCATCATTACTTTTTGGGAAGTGTTGGACAATGTCAATATACGAATGATATCAGTCTTGCAGGTATGAATGAAACAATTTCATTGATCTGCCAATATTCATCTTAATAAACTATTCTAACAACATACTACGATCAGTAGTGTCAACGCTTGATGATAAATCTCAGAAAATCTAAAACACCCGAGATCTCAAGGGGGGCAAGCAAGGCTGATTCTATGCTATATTCAGACATGACATCACAGTGAAATGAATTTAGGTAACTGATTTATTCCAAATGTGCTTGTAACTGCATGGCTATCATTCTCTCCATACAAGGTAGTCCTCAACTTACAACCACAATTGAGCCCAACATTTATCTTAAGTGAGACATTTGTTAAGTGAGTTATGCCACATTTTACAACCATTCTTACCTCACTTGTTAAGCGAACCACTGCAGTTGATAAGTTAGTAACTTGGTTGTTAAGTGAATCTGGCTTCCCCATTGACTTTGCCTGTCAGAAAGTCACAAAAGGGAAGCACATGACAGAGCAATGATCATAAATATGAACCAGTTGCCAAGCATCTGAAGTTTGATCATGTGATCATGGGGATGCTGCAAAGGTCATAACTGCGAAAAACAGTCAAGCCCCTTTTTTCAGTGGTTTGTAACTTTCAACAGTCACTAAATGAACTATTGTAAATTGAGGACAACTTGTACCTAGTTTAAGAAAAAAATATTTACCAATGGAAAGTAGTTATTCAGAATGTTTGATTATTTAAAGTAGACCAAACCGTCACCTTCTTTAAGGCAGTGGGCATCTAAAGATTTATTAACTATTGTCTAAATCCAACTAATAAGACCTTTCTTACTAAATTCAACATTACAAAGGACAAACATCTAGAAGTCCAGCTAGGTAGATCACTGACAAAACCAGGAAGTGAAGATGCCCTCTTTCATTGTCATGTGCTCCTTTGTTACTCCCTTTACAGGAATTTATTCTTGAATAACTTCATCTTCCCCACCCTGAGGAAATTTCCAGGCACAATTTCTATTTGTTGCTCCTCTTGTCTGATAAGAACCCAATTAACTCTCTCAGATTGTCTAATAACCTTCTGTTTGGTCTATTCACCTTATTTATAGCTAAAGACTTAGACATCTTATCTATTTAATTGTATTTTATGTTATTATGGCACTCTTTCTCTTGTATTATTATATTAAACATACTTTACTTCTTGAGTACATAGTTTCATTTTGTGGGTGTTATCTTGCTATTCTCTAGTCCTCTGGCTGTGATAAATGATTTGATCTGATGCTTCATTGATAACCTGTAATATACTAGACACAACTGGGCCCAGTCATAGGAGTAGTGAGATTTGCACTACTTGCACTTTAGCAGTTTACAGTTTGGCTACTTTGCTTAAAGCAGCTCAGAAAACCAAGGGGATTTCTGGGCCGTCCAAAGTGGAGATGAGTCTCTGTAGCAATAGCAGCAGCAATATTTGTTAATTCCCTTACCCATCATGATATTACAGCCTCAAAAAGAAATTACCAGCAATTATATCTTGAGGCCCCTCACTAAGCATCTAAGAGTCTATTAAAGTCTGTTCTCTGAGGACGGTTTCTCTGGTTTCCCATCTGGGCAGACATGCTTACTCACACCCAGCTCAAATCCTATTGCATGTCTGCTCACACTGTTTTTCCTCCCAATAACATATTTCAATTCTGACAGATATTACAGGAAGGGGTAACAAGTTCTGGGAGGGAAATTAAATCCTCACCTTCTCCACTGATGGTGATAATCCTACCTCCTTCTCAGAAAGGCCACACATTTGCACTTCTGCTGACAGTGCAGATGTTAAGGTTAAAACATGGCGTAGACATGATGGGGAGGAAGAGAAAGCCATTAGTGATACTGTACTGGCAACCATATGCCCTCCAGGATTTTTTCCCATTACTTCACAACATTATTTCTGGACATACCAATATACACATACATTTAATAAGGACTGGGGAAAAAAACACTTTGCTTTAGTTAATGGTGCCCTGCTGAAAAAAATGTTTAAAAGTAAGTAATATTAAATACTTTATTCTAAAACAAGAAGTCATTATTGAACTGTGCCAGTACAGTCTTTTGCTCTTTAATTACATTAAATTAACTTTTACTGTTCCCTTTTAATTTGGGCCTATGCTAATGCCCCTGTTGCTGGCAAATTATTAGTTGTTCTGCAACAATAGAGGTAGGATTGCTCTTCACCTCCCTCCAATGTTCCCTCTAAGCATTTGAGATAATTACCATTTTTCAAGCCACAACAACGCTCTCATTTTTAATCCATAATTCACTACAACTGATATGCAAAGGAAAGAGCCAGCATTTATGCAACCTGCTAGGTTACCCTCTCACTGCCTTGTTACAGATCTTTTTCTTCTCCTACCTACCTCCTACCTTGGGGGCTGAACAAGACAGAACCACACAAAGAATTTTTTGTTCTTTTTCCCCATTTACCTATACTGTCCCCAAAAGGCATGGGGGGAAAACTGTCAGGGCCCCAAAGTCAAAACTGATGTTCTAGGACGGAAAATCCAAAAAAACAGAATTAAATCAAATATATAGAAAATTACCTAAACAAAGAATGACAAGTGTAAATTTCTGTTTATCATTTCTGTAGGGTTATGAAAATATAGAAGAATTCAAGAAAACTGGGAAAGGATTTTCATCATTCAGAAAATGGTGAAACCAAAGGATATTTTGCACATGTGAATTCAAACCTTTGTTAAGGTTTTAACAAAAATTGAATTCTTTGGAAACACCCTTGGGCAATGCTGAATATTCCAATTGTATGTATTCAAGTCAAGGTTTGAACCATCAAGAAAGTAAAATTTCTAAAAGGTGAATAATTTTCAGATCAATGAGTTTTGTTTTTTCACTATCCAATTAACAATTCTGAACAGAGAACATTTCTCTAATGAACCCTTAAAAATGATCTGTTTCAAGAGAGAAAGAGAGAGAGAGAGAGAGAGAGAGAGATGATAGATAGATAGATAGATAGATAGATAGATAGATAGATAGATAGATAGGGATGTGGATGTGGATGTGGATGTGGATGTAGATGTAGATGTAGATGTAGATACAGATACAGATAGATATATATTGTGCACACTTAAGAGGCGGAAAATGCGGGCCAGAAAATCTAAGTTCCCCAAATTGTCCAGTGAAGAATATGTCAAACATCAAAACAAACAGAAGGCACATAAACCTCGGGCAATTCTAGAGAGCCAGATTGAGAAAGAAATCCTGTGGGGTTTGTTCTCCTTAAATAGGAACAGAAATGCCAACAGGCCTGAGCACTCTACAGCGGAGGGAGGAAAGAGAAGGACCTTTGCTGGTGGGCAGACGATCACTCAAGCTCAGGCTTCAAGGATCCTTTAGCAGCCCATTTCCCAGTTCTGCAAGGAGATCCTGCAGATGTCACGGGACTAGAATAGAATATAATTCTTTATTGGCCAAGTGTGATTGGACACCCAAGGAATTTGTCTTGGTGCATATACTCTCAGTGTACATAAAAGAAAAGGGGACATTAAGGGGACGCTCAGCTGCCCCTTTAAGGGGACTACACGGCATGACGCCAGAGCAAAGGAGCTGGAGGAAGATCAAGAATCCAGCTCCTAGTGGCTCCTGTGACACTGCATGGAGGGTGTGGAGGGGGGGGGGCGGGAATGTGCCTGGGGTCTGCCGGATATACCAAACGACAACGAAGCCAGCAGCTGCTTTCCGGTGAGGGCTATCTAAAGGGACATCTTAAGAGTGGGGGGGGGAGGATTTGCAAACCTTACTCTATGTACCCACCCCGCTATCCAGACAACTCAGCTCATCTGTCCCCAGTCCCCATCCTCACGGCTTCCTTTCCCCTGCAAAGGGTCAAACTCAAGAAATCCCTGCGCGAAGCCAAAGTCTGACCGCGCCAAGCTTTGGGCTGGCGAAATTCTCCAAGCGCTCGTCCAGGCTTCCTGCCTGTCCCCCCCGTCCCCACCACACACACACACACACAACAGCGGGCAATCGGCCTTCCCCCTATGCCTTGCCGTCCCCTGCTGCAGAAAGGAGCCGCTCCTGCCGCCCCCGCGCTCCGCAGGCAAGAAAGAGCCCAAGCTGCTGGCGCAGTCCGTGCCCGAGGAGTCGCCCTCACCTCCTTCAGCTGCTCCATCTCGGTGCGGATGGTTTCGTACTCCAGCTCCAGCTCCTCGTACTGCTGCTTGAGCTGCTGCTTCTCTTCCAAGACCACCAGCCCATATTCCGCAGCCTGGATCTTCTCCCGGGTGGTTTCGCCCAGCTCCTGGAAGAGCCGCTTGATCTCGGCGCGCAGCCACTCGGGCTCCGACTCCATCACCAGCTTGGCGTATTCTTCCTCTTCCATGGCTAGAGACATCTTTGCAGCAGGCGGAGGCGGCCCGAGAGTGGTGGGGGGGGGGGTTTCCAGACCGGCAAAAAGGAAGGAAATGCGGCAGGGAAAGCAAGCAGAAGGACGGACCCCGCAGCACCCTCCGCCCCTTCAGCCCCTTCAGAACCCCGCCAGTCCCTCGGCCACCATGGTCCTCTCCTCTCCAGCGCCCCTTGCCCGGCGTGCCATGAACCGGCAAGGCTCCTCGATCGCCCGGCGCTTACACCATGATTCCTGCACCCCCCCCCCCACCCTCCAGTCTCTCACTGCGGCTGCGAAACTCCCTGGGAATGTAAACCGCAGTGAAATCATTCAAAAGGAACGGCCAACCGATTGACCCGCGGCATTATAGGACTTGTAGTCTTGGCTCCTTTGCAGTCAAGCCCAGCTGGGGCCTTCGAAGACTACGACTCCCATCATGCACAGGGAGGCAAGCACAGATGGATTGCAAGCTCCGGCCTCTTTAAGGAATTTTTTTGCACAGGAAGAATCAATCTGGCAGCCGGCGCTGTTGTTATCCTCGGTGCAAGTGCGGGTTGTGTCAAAGCGCCGTCCGTTTGAATGCTGACCCCTAGCGGCCCTTCCTAGTAGAGTCCGCGTATAGAGACGTGGGGACGAGGAATCGGGTTTACTGCAGGATACCTGTGAATTGTCCATTCTTGCACTGGTGGCTGGCACAGCCTGTGATAAGATTTAAGCTAAAATTCTGCAGATGCTTAAAATGGCTGCCCGTTTGTTTTTAGTGGCTGGCGATATGGCGGGGGAGGGAGGGAGAGAATTTCTAAAAATCAATGAAGTCTTAGTTTATATCTAATTGGAAAGATGTTGTTAGTAAAACCAGTCTTAAATTGCCTTTAAACATTTAGATGCAATACAACATGCTTGCAGCACTGAGCTCTCCACTATGAAGGTAACAGTAATAGTGTTGGAAGGAGGTCATCTAGTCCAACCCCCTGCTAGCACAGGAGACCTATATACTAGGGATTCGAACCGCCAAACTGCAGGACCTTTCAGTAAAGCACCAGGGTGACTGCAGCTGCCAATCTCAAAATGCTTCTGAAATTACTAATGGGTTTGCTTAACCGAATCATTATTTACTGAATCCAATTTTCTAGATTCACGTGACATACCGGATCATAAAGTAATCACACAACATACTAAGCCATATCAGCCATATGTTAGCCAAGCTGAAACAAACATTTGATGGTTTGTTGATGGTGCAGCCCTTGAGAAAAATCAACATCTTGCATTTTTTAGTTAGAAAAAGGAAATGATCAATCAGAATAGAGCTGGAAGGGACCTTGGAGGTCTTCTAGTCCAGCCCCGTACTCAAGCAGGAGACCCTACACCATTTCAGACAAGTGACTGTCCAATTTCTTCTTAAAAACCTCCAGTGAAGAAGCACCCACAACTTCTGAAAGCAAACTGTTCCATTGGTTACATCAAATTATGCATGGCATGGAAGAAACTAAGAAGTTTTTGTCTTAAAATCTAGAGACACTCAACAAAAGTAAACAGTGGGAGATGTCAAGACAAAAGGAATGTCTTTCTCACCTAGTACAAAGTTCAGCAAAGAGTTTGCTTCAGCAGAAGTTTGTAAATATGACAGTTTTAAAGGAATATAAATACTTTGCCAAAGACAACACTATAAATTCGACCTGTTGATTGCTTAAAGTAGGATATCAACTCCATTTCATATGGGGAGAAAAGAAGGCTAAGCATAATAATGCATTGATGTTCTACTTGTGGACTTCCCAGGAAAGTTTCCTCAGAGGTATTCTTAGGTGGGCAGAAATCTGATTATTGCCTTATGTACATTTCCTGGTAAAATATATGGGAAAATCCCATTGGGAGAAAATCCCACTTAGAGTTAGGTTTAGTCTCCATGAATTCATGGAGCAAAATGGATATCGCCAATGGATTTGTAGATGAGAGAAATGCTTAGGAGGACAATGAACTTTTGAAGCTGCCTTATCTACATTTATTGATAAAATACATGGGTAGATCCCATTCGGGGAAAACACCACTTAGGGTTAGCTCTCCATGAATTCAGAGAGCAAAATGGACATCGCTAATGGATTCATAGCTCAGAGGAATGCTTAGGAGGGCAACGACTTTTTGAGCCTGCCATATGTCTGTTTCCTGACAAAATGAATGGAAAAATCCCATTGGGGGAAAAACCCACTTACGGTTAGGGTTAGGTCTCCATGAATTCAGGAAGCAAAATGGTCATCGTCAATGGATTCATAGGGCATCGGTATGTGTAGAAGGGGGATGACCTTTTGAGCCTGCTTTATCTACGTTTCCTGATAAAATACATGGAAAAATCCCATTGGAGGGAAAACCTACTTATGGATAGGATTTGGTCTCCATTTATTCAGAGAGCAAAATGGATATTGCCATCAAATTTATAGCCAATCGGTATGTTTAGTAGGGCTCTGTTTTTCAACACTATCTTAGCTACGTTTCCTGGTAAAATACATGGGACAATCTCATTGTGGGGAAATTCACTTAGGGTTAGGTTTCCATGAAATGGACATTACCAATTGTTTTTAAGAAGAGATTGGATAACCATTTGTCTGAAATGGTATAGGGTTTCCTGCCTAAGCAGGGTTGGACTAGAAGACCTCCAAGGTCCCTTCCAACTATTCTATTCTATTCTATTCTATTCTATTCTATTCTATTCTATTCTTCTAATTGATTTGAGCACATTGGTATGCTTAGGAGCGTGGTGAGTTTTCAAGCCTGCTTAAACTACATTTCCTGATAAAATACAAGGTAAAATCCCATTGGGGGCAAATCCATTTAGGATTAGAGTTAGGTCTTCATGAATTCAGTGAGTAAAATGGACAGTAACAATGGATTCGTAGGACATCGGTATGCTTAGCAGGGTGCTGACTTTTCAATCCTTGTAAAATACATGGGAAAATTAATTTGGGGTCAAATCTATTGAAGGTTTAGGCTTTGGTCCCAATGACGTCTGAGGGCAAAATGGATATCGTCATGAAGAATGAGAACCTGGAAACAGTCTTTATATCTGATTCAGCATAATCCTTCTTTTATACTCAGAAGTGGCAGGAAACGCAGAAGATGGATGCCTACTAAATCAAAACAAGCACACCTGAAGATTACGTCAGGTGACATTTTTTGTGCCCTGCCCTTTCCCAAGGCCTTTGGAAAACACTTTAATCTTCTTCCTCTCAATCATTTTGATCCAAACTGATCTAAATATTTAAAGCATTCCTTTTAATAATGTGGTCTGTAAGTTGTAGCTTCAGAGCCAGGAGCTGTTCGGGCTTACTAATTCCTGGATTTTCTTAGCCTATGATGAGATTTATCATGTGAATGTATAACACTCTCATTGTTTGTTATTAAACTCGCCTGAAACCAAAATATTAAGAAGTTTGATTTAATCCACCCCTATGTATTTAATTAATATTGTTTTCTGATCTTTTCTGAGTGTACCCATGGAGTTTGTTCACATGTCCTTTAACATCTTAACAGGTATTTAGTTAATTTCTCATTTATGCATGTCAGGCCCACCTGCCTGGATTTAAGTCAAGATTTGGGGATGTTCCAATATCTTATGTAAAATTTCTATGGGACCTCCATTAATGGGAATTGAAAATGAGCAGGTTGAAGGTAAACCTTGTAGAGAAAAGTTGAGAGACCAACAAAAGCCATTCAGAAACCTCCTAAGGTAAATTTCAACATCTGCTTTTGAGTCCAGATTTCAACTATTTATTTTTTTAAATACATATTTGTTTTATCAACAAAAACGAAATATGAAACAGAAAAAAGAACATACATCCAAAAAAGAAAAAAATGACCCAAGTATCAAATAAATTTAAACATATGGAATCCACCCAGGTTGGATGTTGGGGGAAAAAAAACACAGATAAATTCTCCTCCCCTTTATGTAACAGGTCTACAAATAGTTGTAAACTTTCCCATCCCTATTTAACAAGAATACTATATTAAATAAATATTTGTCTATATTATGATGGGTCAATTTGATTATCAGATAGAAATCCCTTCACCTGGAATATTTTGTTTATTTAATTTATTATTGAACCAACTGTTTCTACCTTTTCTAAGAGTCCAGAAATGTATCAGCAAGCAGAGGTTTTCCATTTCAGCCGAAAGGCTGCATTTGCAAATTAGCATCTTGTTTTCGACATCCTAACCTTGAACTTAGATGGTGTATTGAATCCCCAAAGTGTGACCGGCAAATTCAGGAAATTCTAGAGTTCAAGGGCAAGTGTATTGTGCAAACAGAGCTTTTTTGTGATGCTATTCTTTGAAGAAAGAATAATCTGAACTGGGCAGGGACTGGAAAAGATTGTCTTGCCAACAACATAATCTGTCTAGTCAACAGTCTACATCCCAGTCCAGTCTTGATTACTACAGCCACATGGCCCTACCAATTTCTTGGCAACATCTTTAGAAGTGGCTTGCTAGTATCTTCTTCCTCAGTGAAGGAACCTATTAGTATATTTTATCACTTTTAAATAGATTATATGATTGACTACTGAGTCTTGCCCAGCATTTACAGGAATATGGCTTCCAGTTAAAGGCTGTTCTGTGTGGGTCCAGCATTACCTTTAGGCAGAATGCAGACAAGACACCGCACATTTCATTGTTCTACTTCAAATTCCAGGGAGGGAAGTAAAGGTTAACATTGGGAGAGGGGTCAGGCCCTAAAACGACATAACTTTTTGTGTTTTCTGCACTCTTTGTGTGGTGGGATGGCAGAGTTGCTGCTTTATCTCCAGCAGCAAAATACTTTTGGCTCTACTGAAAAGCAACATATTGGTATAAAAGCTTTACCCAGGCATTTTTGGGCATGATTGTTCCAGAACAATAACAATTGTTCCAGAACTTTTTAAAATATGAACATTGTTTTAATGTTAGTCATTTTATTGTCTTTTAGCACTCATTATTTATTGATGGCTTTCGTTGTTCTGTACACTGGCACCCATTAGAGGGGAAAGTAGCATAAAATCAAATTGTTGTGGTCAGTGCTATTCTTACAGGCCTCCTTTGCAATCATGTTTGCCAAGTAGAAGCAATATCAGGCATTTGGAAGAGGAGGTATACTGACCAGAAGGTAGCTAGGCTGACATGTCTTATTAAATCACAACATTGTTTTGTTTTGGTGTAACACAACATCTGAGATGAACTAATCTGGCCACATGTAGAAGCATCCTAACTGAAACCTTTGTAAGGGAGCTGCAAGGCCATTACCACAGGATTGGAAGAAATCTTAGGTTTTGGTCACGCTCTAATTTTCTAGGCAAGTTCCCGATCTTTCCCTTTGGTGACTCATTTCATTTTTATTCCATTTTGAAGTTGTTGTTTGTTCCCTCAACTCAGAATGCAGTAAATAAGGCGAGCTGAGTAACTTGAGGGTAGAAGGCATGAAGCAAACCCTATAGGCATCTCTACTGATTGGATCATTTTTTTCC